CGGGCGCAACACCAAGGGTTGCGATCCCGTTGCCGGTCACGAAAAAAGACAAAAAAAAAAGGGAAAAAAAAATGGCAAATACTATTACTATTTATTTATACTATTTTCATTTATACCATCACCCTAACATAGCAATTATTTCCATCTAGTATTAAATTTCAAAATTTATCCACATAAATGTTTGTAGTTGATCATGACTGTAGTCACTGGCATATAAAGGGATTATAAATTTAAAATAAATAATTATACCTGCTGCCCCATAACCTAGAGTGTACTGGATTACACTGGTTTATTATCTTCTAGTTTGAGACGTATAAAATAGTATTTGATTATCTGAATTTACACTTGCTTAATTACCAGTGAGACTGAAACTCCTTTCATATTTTCTAGTTGTATTTCTTGGGGGCACTAGTTGTTTAAGTCCCTGGCTCATTTACCCTTTGGGGTCTTGGTGGTGTTTTCATACTTCTATAAGATTGGTAACAAACTGGCAACCTGAGGGCCAAATCTAGCTCTCAGATATATTGTTTTGTCTACATGATGTTAAAAAAAAGTCAGATGTGGAAATACCTGGCTCATAATCCTGCATAGAAACAATCAGATGAACTAACAGCTGCTTCCTTCAAAAGGTGTGTGGGCTCTCAAGTCCAATACAACTCCATTCGCTCAAGTCTTTACATCGGCCCAATGCACTTATTTACATCACTTGCCTGACCACCTTGTGCTTTATCATATTAACTCTTTATCCATCATTCCATTATTTTCTTCTTATCTTTTTGATTATGCTACTTTTTGATTTCTATAGTCATTGTATCATTACTTTTAAATTTTTCTTTCAGGAGTCACTACTTACTATCAGGAGAAATCTACAAAGATTACTCTTTGAATGCTATGCCGTCATCATTTTGGTAATCTTCCCGCCTTTCCTTCTTCAAAAAACTTTTAAGTCCTCATTAAAAATCTTAAAATTTGTAAACCAGAAAGAACTTTGAAGATTATATTAGTTCCTAATATTTCAGATGATGAAAAGAAGACTCAGACAAATTGAGTCATCATGCAGCCTCACAGCTCACCCTAAATCTGTCTACTAATACCAAGTTATCATTAGGGGAGTGACTACTGTGGCTCAGTCACAGCAAGGTCACTCAAAAGAAGTAAATCAAAACCTGAGCTGATTTGGAAGGACTTAGTAAAGGCTAGGGGACAAATGAAGCAAGACATACCAGACAGAGAAAGCTGGATAAAGAGAGGCCATGACAGAAGAATTACACCAAGCGTTTGAGGTTCAAAAAAATGCATCAATGGGGCCGGCCCAGTGGCGCACTGGAGAGTGCGCCGCTTGGGAGCGCGGCGGCACTCCCGCCGAGGGTTCGGATCCCATGTGGAGACCGGTTCCTGCTCACTGGCTAAGTGCGGTGCGGATGCAACACCGAGGGTTGCGATCCCGTTGCCGGTCCCCAGTACGGGCACGACACTGAGGGTTGCGATCCCGTTACCAGTCAGTAAAAAAGACAAAAAAAAAGGAAAAAAAAAATGCATCAATTTCACTAAACTATAGTGTTCATGTAGTTGGATGAGGGAAAGTCCATATTAGGGTTGTAGTAATGTCTAAGAAGAGTAGAAGTCAAAGAAGCATCAATTTCACTAAACTATAGTGTTCATGTAGCTGGATGAGGGAAAGTCCATATTAGGGTTGTAGTAATGTCTAAGAAGAGTAGAAGTCAAAGAATTCTTGAAGGATTAGTGAGACTTGGCTGTGGAGTAAAAGAAAACAGAGAGAACTCCAGTTCATAAGAAGCAGAGGTTGAGTTTGCAAGGGCATCTGTTAAATGCTGGAATTCCCATGTACAGGCCTTGAGCCTTCAGTCAGACTATGGAGGTCAACGGGTCCTGAGCAAAAGATCTGATGCCAGAAATATATGTATCAGGAATCTCAAATGTTTACGCCCTTTAACACTGTAATTCTACCACTAGGAATTACATCCTAAGAAAATAATCAAGAATGTATCCACAGATTTCTAAAATAAGGACACTTGTGCTTATTGCAACCTTATTCATAACAATGAAAAAATCATAAACAACCTGGATGCACAATAATAAGAGAATGGTTAAATAAATGATGAATAAATGCAGCAATTAAAAACACTGGTTTTGAAGAATAAGTAATAAAATGGGAAAATGCTCATATATAACATTTATGACAAGGAAAATATCCAACAGTGGTAGCTTTCCAAGCCCCTGCCCTTGATCGCAAGTATACCATACCTGGTGGGACCCACTTAGGTCTCCTGTTTTCCGCTGAAGGGCTGCATATTTGTAATGGTTTCCTAGTAGCCTCAGAAGAAAGAGAAACCTTTTTTGGTGAGGACTGAGATTCTGATTTGGCAGCAGCTGGAGCAGAGTCCACTGAAGTCACTTATTTTAAAAATATACATAAAAAAGTTTATCATACAGGAAGGTAAAGTTTACATCTAGCATGTATGTGTAAAAATTATAAAGTTACATAATCTTATAAGAAATTAAAAAGGCGGTATCACAAATTTTAAAATTTATTAATTTTCTCTTATTAATCAGCAAACACTTACTGAAAGTCTAAGAAAAGCCATCTTTTATGAGCATTTATATGCCAGGCAGTGTGGTAAACAAATTACACACATAACCTTTAACCCTTTACAACAACTCTGATACAGATATTACCATCCCCGCCGTCAGTTAAGGAAATAGAGAGGTTAAGCAATCTGCCTCTAGTTTGATAGCTAGGAAGTGTGAACTGGGCTTAGAAATCAGGTTTACCTCCAAATTTCATACTAATAACTACTACACAACAATGTGCCATCATTATGTGTTAGTGAGACGATATATTGGGCTCTAGGGTTACAAAGAGTATAACTCATGGGTCCTACGCCCAAGAAAACCGTGGTCCAGTCACAGATTCTTATGGGAAGGACAGGACAGTAAAGAGATGTGTATAATGCAGTGTGATAAAAGGATATGACAGACTCTAGAGTCGTACCCAGTAGGAAGGGAACCTACAGTCTGGATGTGTGTGTTTAGAAGTCATGGGGAGGTAAGTGAGGATCTGAGCCAAATCAAGACTGAAGAATAAAGATAAATTTAAGGAAATTTTCCAGGCGGGGGAGTAGAGCGTGTAAAGCTGGAAACCACAACAAGTTCCAGGACCAGCACTGGTTTGGTGTGGCTAGAGCCGGAATCTCAAGGGGAGGAAAGCTGAGAGACGTAGACAGGGTGCAGTTCATTTATGAAGAACTTTGCAGACCTTGAAGAGGAGTCTGACTAGTTACAATCATATATTGGTTTTTCTCAGGAGTGATTTCCATTTTACAACCATCTTTCTGGTGGTGGTGTGGGGCAAACAGACCACTTAGAAGGCTATCGTGGTAAGCAGATGAGAGGTGATAAGGGCCTGAAGTAAGGTGGAGAATGAAGGGAAAAACACATTAGATATGTTTCGGATGGGGGGAGGCGGATATGGAGATGCAGAAATAACCCACGACTTGCAAGTTGCTATAATGGGCACACTGCTTTATGGTGCCAGCTACCTAGAGAAGGAACACAGGAATGGGAGTCGGTTTGGATTCTTTTTTACTGGGGGGAGGGGGTGGCATGGGGAATGAAGAGAGGAGGAAAACAGAACATAAATTCACTTTCAGATAATGCTTGCTTTGAGATACCTAAGGAGGATGTAAATGCACGTGCATATAAACATTTTCACTATATATACAGTCTCCTAATGTTAACATCTATACCCCCCGATCAGCACTGTCCAGTAGAACTTTCTGTGATGACAGAAAAGTTCTATAATTCACCCAATATAGTAGCCACTTATCACATATAGTTACTGTGGACTTAAAATGTAGCTAGCAAAATTGAAGCACTGATTTTTAAATTTTATTTCATTTTAATTAAGTGTAATGTAGCCACCTGTGGCTAGTGGCTACCATATTGGACAACATAGCTCTCAAAATTTTCTCTGTCAGGAGAAAGACTCGCAAAGGTTACCCAATACGCTATAGCAGGACGAGAAATGTAATCTATTTTTCCTAATTCATAATCTATTTCTTAACAGTTAAATTTCACTTCTAGGATTATATATTAATTCCCCTTATAAAGCAACTTGCTCTAAGATATATGGAAAAGACTTAAAATGGTAAATTCCAACTTGAAAACTAAAATTTTACTTTTAGTTTTTAGTATGTTTTGATGAAGAAGCATCAACAAATATCTAAAGAAAATATAAAATATATTCATATTGTGAATAACATTTTCATATTACAGCTTGTGGTAAGCAGAATAATGGCCCCTCAAAGATGTCTACATCCCAGTCCCTAGAACATGTGAATATGTTGCCTTACCAGGAAAAGGGACTTTGTGATGTAATTAAGTTAAGAACCTTGAGATAGGGAGATTATCCTGAATTATCTGGATGGGCCCAGTGTGATCAAAAGAGTCCTTATAAGTAAAAGTGAGAGGCAGAGTCAGAGTGACATGACATGAGAAATCCCTGCCATTGGTGACTTTGAGAATGGAAAGGGGCCATGAGCCAAGGAACAAAGGCTTCCTCTAGACACTGAAAAAGGCAAGAAAGTAGATTTTCCCCTAGAGCCTCCACAAAGGAGCACAGCCGTGCTGACAGCTTGATTTTCACCCAGTGAGAACCATTTTGGACTTCTGACCTTCAGAACTGTAAAATAATAAATGTGCTGTTTTAAGTCACTAAGTTTATAGTAATCTGTTATAATAGCAATAGAAAACTAATACACAGTTTTATCTTTAAAAGCCCCCACATTTAAAATCTAATTTCTGGGGCCGACCCCGTGGCTCACTCGGGAGAGTACGGCACTCCCGCCGCGGGTTCAGATCCTATATAGGGATGGCTGGTGAGCTCACTGGCTGAGCGTGGTGCAGGCGACACCAAGCCAAGGGTTGCAATCCCCTTACCGGTCACACACAAAAAAATTTTTTTAATTAAAAAAAAATAAAAACAAAATCTAATTTCTGGAAACTAGATGAATTTGTCAATTTAAAAAAAACACTCAAATTAAAACCTCATTAATTCAGAATACAGCAAGGGAGGAGGAATATGACTCAATCAGTATTTAATTCTTATTTAATTCTTAGTAAGTACTCAACACCATGCTATTTAATTTGAGAACAACTCCTACTAATAAATGGGAAGTCTGAATAATGGAACTGTTAGTTTCAAACAGTATATATGTTAAAAAAAACTATCACATAAAAATGGGTATCAATAAATAAATTCAGTTAATGAAAGTTATTTCATAATAATCACAGCTTATGAACTCAAAAATATTTTAACTTCTTATACACAAGTATCCCATGTTCAAGTCATCACAAATTCCAAAAGTTTTATTGTAAAAGTGGTTTCTAATGGAATTTGTTTTGGGGGGAGCAGGGAAAGGGCCCTAAACATGTGACAAAAAAGCTCTCAAATCAAATACTAAGTCAAGCATGAGAGCAAGAAGTTAGAATCATGCAAACTTCCCTACTTAATTGCCCAGATAAAACATGATCCAGTGGATAGAGCTTAGGCTCTGAATGAACAAACCTAGGTGCACATTCTAGCCCCTCACTTAGATGTACGATTTCCAACAAATTATTTAACCTCTCTGAGCCTCAGTTTCCTCACTGTAAAATGGGCGACAGTAGCTACCACAGAGGGGGCCATGAGTATTAAAGCGAGGTAACACAGAGTCTGTGCCAGCATAGGCAGCAGGGCTCTTGTCTGCTTTTCTCCCACCCCCACCCCTACCCTGCTCTCTTTGATGTATTTTAACTAGAAATGAACATTAGGAAAATGTTAAGGGGAACAAAGGCAAAGATAAGAAAAAAACAGCAAATACACCAAATACATTTCCTTTATAAAATTAAGCGTTTTGAACCAAGCTTACCCAAAACGTTACATTTGGATTTAGATTTCTTCTCTTTCTTGTCTACTGGGGATTTTACCTTCACTTCTTTCTTTTTATTTTCTTTAACTTTACTTTTTCTCATAGAGAAATCTTTGTCATCATCTTCATTCTCACCAAAATCAGAATCATCCTCAGAATCTTCGCCTAAAATGGAAGATTACAGACTTCATCTTTATCCCAAAAAGTGAGGCTTCTGTACCTCAGTGTTATCCACGGCTTCTGCATCAGATTGGTTAGCACCTTGGTGCTACGCCGTTTCCGGTAGAACACTGCAGTGGAGGAGATTGTGGGTGCCTGCGTGTGAATCCTAGCCCACCATTTACATGCTGTGTGACCTCAGCACAGGTCACTGACTTCACCATGCCTCAGTTTCCTCATCTAGAAAATGGGGATAACTATAAAACCTACATCACAGGGTTGTTGTGCAGATTAAATGAGTTAATACATATAAAGCATTTAGAATAACTTCTGGCACACAGCAAGCAAAACATAATTGTTTGCTATTACCATTATCGCTGTATTTTTCCATAGTAATCTTCACTTCAGATTTTACCAGTTTAACTCAGTAACTTTTGAAAAGAATGGTAGGGTAAGACAATAGCTAGTCTTTCAAAACAATGACATTTATGGTAATAATGCTATACCTTCCCTTAATCACACAAACTTCCACATTCTGGAATAAAGACCTACTGGGACTTGAGAAGAGACTAAGCATACCACAACAATCTTAGCGTATAACCCTGTATCTGATTTCATTTGGGACACACCTCTGTTTCCCACAAACTCTTCTTTGTACTTCACGGGGTGATGTAAGTCCTGCAGCTGCTCTGGAAAGAAGCATTTTCTAACCTGAGAGTTAAGCAACGATCCTTCCATTCTGGGGAGGGGTGGGGGAGAGGTTAGGATAAACTCTGAAGACCAAGTATAAATAAGGGTTAGTCCTATATCCATTACAAACTTTTATATATTTTTAATATTATGTACATGCTTATTGCAAAAAATATTAAAGAAAAAATCTACTCTCTAATCTCACCACTCAGAGATAACAACTGTTATCCCCACATATTAGTATCCACCTATCTATATGAATAATATATTTTATATAAAAACTAAAAACAAATATGGAAATTTTCAAACCTACACAACAGTAGATAATAATAAACCCCCATCCAGATTCAACAATTATCAATATTTTGCTACATTTGTTTCATCTGTCTCTTTCTTTTCTTCTCTTCCCTTCCCTTCTTATAGTACCTTAAAATAAATCCAAGGCATCACATCATTACACTCATACATACTTCCGAATACATCTCTAAAACCTTCCATTGATGATCTCTGCCTAAATCAATGGTGTCATCATGATCTTCAAATTGTGATTTCCTTATTTCTCATTCTTTCCACACAAATAAAATTTTAAAAACAAATAATAATCAACTGGCATATTCACATTATGTTTACTGTGTTATGTAGAATTAGCCACAGAAGGCCAGTAGATCACCTGAAGGCTGTTCTAAATAGTACCCTGAAAATTCAAATAATTATTTCTGGAATCCCTAGAGGATCTAGGTTCAGGGAGGGCAAGCAGTGGAGGAAATTTCTCCAAAATTTCAGTATTTAAAACCTAGGAGGACAAAACTTTCTATGTATGCAGTAGTTCTGGTGTTGCACATGTTCGGTGACTGAGAAGACCTAAGGGCTCTTTTCTTGGCTCAAGAGGATAAATGGTAGGAGCTGACTGTAACTCTATTTAACAAGCTTGTCCACAGATGGGGTCTAACTCATCTTCATCAGTCAACTAAGAAAGCAATTTAAATAAAAAAGAGGTAGGGAGGAGAGTTCCAGAATCCCAAGTCAGGCAGCCCATACTGGAAGATCTGGAAGGCCCATACACTTGAGCTATGGATTGTGGAAATCTTTAGATGGCCTTACGAAAAGGCTTCTTTTGTCTGCAATTTTCTCTTTTCTTTCCCTAATAAGGGTCCATAAATGATCCATTCTCTTCTTATCTAGGGCAAGCTAATGCAGGGGAAAACTGAAATGTCACTTTGGGTTGTTTCCACCTGTTGGCTGTGAATAATGCTACAGAGGACATGAGTGTGTAAATATCTCTTCAAACCCTGCTTTCAGTTGTTCTGGATATATACCCAGAAGTGGGACTGCTGGATCATATGGTGGTTCTATTTTTAATTTATTGAGGAACTACCATACTGCTTTCCGTAGCAGCTGCACCATTTTATAACTCCACCAACAGTACACAAGGGTACCAATTTCTCCACATCCCCACCAACACTTGTCATTTTCTGAGTTTCTGTTTTTTTCTCTTTTGATATTAGCCATCCTAATGGATGTGAGGTGATATATCATCATGGTTTTGATATTTGCATTTCTCTAATGATTAGTAATGTTGAGCATCATTTCATATGCTTCTTGACCATTTGCACATGATCTTTGTTGAAATGTCTATTGTTAGCTATTTACTTTTAAGAGCGGAAGGGCAATTTTAAAATCACTATCCAAATCATGATTTCCATATAAACTGTACTTTTATTAAATGGTTCAAGAGAGATTATCTAAAGTTGGAATGCAAACAGCAAAATATTTTTAGATATCTATCATACCCCTTGAGACATAACTCATGAATTATTTAAACCCAACAAACAAAGCAAAGGATTCATTCTCACATATACAAGAATAGCAAACTTTTCAATCCTTTATTAAAGATACAGACATTAATTTGGTCAGCATGCTAAGTAGAGTGTAATTTATAACTTAAGAATTGCTTACTGATTTTTCTGACAGGCATGCATTAAATCACGATATTGACATTCTGGAAGTGCTACAATCATTACTCCCGGGAAACACACTTACACTGCCAAGGAGTTATTCTGACTACATTGGTCTTTTTGTACTAAGTAACCTCAAGTTGGGAAGCATTTAGTCCATGCTCTATTATGCTTCCCGAAGGTATTTTCTTTCATTGGCTCCTCCTTTTTGGTGCTCCCCTTAAATTAACGTTTCTCAAAAGAAGATCCACAGGCAACCTGCTTTGGGATAACCTGAGTCAGGGAGAGGGGCAGATTGGTTAAAAACGCAGATTTCTGGGCTCCACACCTGTTCTGTGGAATCAGTCTCTTTGGGAGGTGAGGCCTGAGAATCTGCATTTTAACAAGCTCTTGAGGTGATTCTTAAAATCTGAGAACTACTGCCTTAAGTGCTAATATTCCTCCAGATTCCCCTCTCTTCTCTTCTCAGGCTTACTTGCCCATTCCACTAGCTTTAATTATTATTTATGTAATGATTACTTCTCCCCTTTCCTGAATTTATGTCAGCTAAGTCTTTGCACAAATATCTGGCTGGTACCTCAAATTCCAATTGCTTAAAACAAAATGCCTTCTCTCATCTGCCTAAACCTGATCGTGTGCATATATTTCTTATCTTGGTTTTAGCATTTTCATCTTTGTAATCATCCAGTCCAGAACTTTGAGGCCATGGCTGATTTTCTTTTTTCTCCCGCCCTCCCCAGATTCCAATCCCTGTTACTCTGCTTCTGCAACATCTTTCATAGAGAGCCCACCTGCACATTCCTGCCTCCATGCCTCCTGTTCACACCTTGAACCACTTCTTACCTTGGACGAAACTTGTTAACCATTTTCCTGCTTCCTATCTCTTCAAACTCATCCTTCATACATTTCCAGGTCTTCCCTCCTAAAACTAAGGTCTGAAGATAATGGTATCTAGAGCACTGGTGATCCCTCATTATATATATATTTAAAATCAGTTGATAGATAGCATTTTCTCAATTTCACGTTTTCTTTCTTTCTTTTTTTAAACCTTTGGCATCATTTTTTCCCCCTTTTTTAATCAGATCATTTCCATGAACCTACACACATGGAGTAAATATCAACCATAAAAATCCTCTATACAACATTACATTTCTCTGCTACCCTTTACAACAAAACTCCTCAAAAGGTTGTCTTACACTCCCTGTCTCTCATTCTTCTGAACTCAGTTCAGTTGGGCTTTCATTTCCATCATGCTCACCACTGACCATGCAAACCCACTGGTCATTCCCAATCATCTATTTGACCTAGTGAGTCATTAATAACTGACTCCTCTTCTAAATAATTTCTTCACTTGGCCTTTGGATACTGTTCTTCGTTCTGTATTTTTAGCCATTCCTTTTCAATCTTCTTTGCTGAAAGTTCCTAATTTTTCTGACCTCTAAACATTAGTGTTCCAGAGCTTAGTATATAGACTTCTTCTCTTTTCCATCTAAAGTCATTCCCTAAGCAATCTCAGTCTCATCCAGTCTCATGGTCTTAAATACACCCTATATAGTGATGCTTCCAAATTTATATTCAAACCTGGGCTTCTCTCCTGAACACCAAACTGTATTCAACTGCCTACTTAACGTCTCCACTTGGAGTCAGAGGTATCTAACATGTCCAGTCTTTTGATTCCAGTCACTACCACCTCTTTATCCAGCAAACCTGCTCCTCCCCCGAGTCTTTTCAATTTCAGTGAAAGACAAAAACAAATCAAAATGCAAGGCAGTATATGACCAACATACAGTCACTCAAACCAAAAACTTCAGTTATCCTTGATTGCACTTTTTCCTCCTACCCTACAGCCGATCCATCTGCAAATCCATAGGCTGCTCCTTCAAACATATACAAATTGATGACTTCTCAGCATCTCTACCCCTATTACTCTGGTCCACGCCACCATCATCTCTCACCTAGAGCACTGGATGTCAACTGGTGTCACTACTTCTGCCCTTGCTCAACTTCCAGTCTATTCTTAACCTAGTAGCTTTAGTGATCCTATAAAATTTTAATTAAGAACCCGTTCTCTCCTCTCCAAATACTTCCAATTGCGTACTACATCCTACCTGATCTGGTTTCCTCTCTAATCTCATCCTTTACCAGCACCCCCTGCCCTTACTCAGCTTCAGGCAAAATAGCCTTACTATTCCCCAACACACTAAGCACACTCCTGCCGCAGGACCTTTGTGTTTGCTGCTCCGTCTATGGAATTCTTTCTCCAAATCTCCACGTGGCTTGCAACCTCACACATCACCTCAGAGAAGCCTTCCCTGACCACCCCACCTGAAATAGCCCCTCCCACTCCAACCCCACCATCCTCTTACCCTCTACCCTGCCCTCCCCTTCTTCCCAGCTCTTCCATCATGGTACTGGACACACTATGTATTTGTCTACTGTCTGTGTCCCCTCACTAGAATTTAAGCTGCATGAGGACAGGAGCTCTGTTTGTTTTGTTCACTATTATATCCCTACCGTCTAGAATATAGTGCCCACAATAGGTACTCAAATATTTGCTGAGTAAGTGCTGATAAATATGTTATTGTTTGTCAACAGCATGTTAAAATCTAAAATAAAACATCTGATTTGGCATAAATTTATGGATTTATTCATTTTAATTTTAATTAATATATTACGATGCTCTGTCAAGGTCATTATGCTTTGCATTTCCTCTAATTTCTTTTTTTCTTTCACTTTTATATCATCATATTTTGCTATGTCTTTCTACTTTTCTCTTAGTCACCCTAATTCCTGAATGAATCTAAAAACAACTGCTGTAATAAAATACAGGTTTCATATCACTTCTACCTCAAAATATTTCTTGAATTTCTATTACCTACAGAAAAAAAGTCTACACATTTTAGAATGGGTCTGAGACCCTCCATGATTAGTGCCAGCCTGCTTGTTAGCCTCTTCTGCAACATTGTCCCCAGCAAGCCTCCCTGAACTATATGTACACCTGTCTATTCCATTGCTTATGCCTATCAGTGAGAAATGCTATTTTGCCTCTTTAGTTTGTCTAAATGCTACTTATTTTTCAAGCATGGCTTAAAGGTCACCTCCAAAATANAATGCAAGGCAGTATATGACCAACATACAGTCACTCAAACCAAAAACTTCAGTTATCCTTGATTGCACTTTTTCCTCCTACCCTACAGCCGATCCATCTGCAAATCCATAGGCTGCTCCTTCAAACATATACAAACTGATGACTTCTCAGCATCTCTACCCCTATTACTCTGGTCCACGCCACCATCTCTCACCTAGAGCACTGGATGTCAACTGGTGTCACTACTTCTGCCCTTGCTCAACTTCCAGTCTATTCTTAACCTAGTAGCTTTAGTGATCCTATAAAATTTTAATTAAGAACCCGTTCTCTCCTCTCCAAATACTTCCAATTGCGTACTACATCCTACCTGATCTGGTTTCCTCTCTAATCTCATCCTTTACCAGCACCCCCTGCCCTTACTCAGCTTCAGGCAAAATAGCCTTACTATTCCCCAACACACTAAGCACACTCCTGCCGCAGGACCTTTGTGTTTGCTGCTCCGTCTATGGAATTCTTTCTCCAAATCTCCACGTGGCTTGCAACCTCACACATCACCTCAGAGAAGCCTTCCCTGACCACCCCACCTGAAATAGCCCCTCCCACTCCAACCCCACCATCCTCTTACCCTCTACCCTGCCCTCCCCTTCTTCCCAGCTCTTCCATCATGGCACTGGACACACTATGTATTTGTCTACTGTCTGTGTCCCCTCACTAGAATTTAAGCTGCATGAGGACAGGAGCTCTGTTTGTTTTGTTCACTATTATATCCCTACCGTCTAGAATATAGTGCCCACAATAGGTACTCAAATATTTGCTGAGTAAGTGCTGATAAATATGTTATTGTTTGTCAACAGCATGTTAAAATCTAAAATAAAACATCTGATTTGGCATAAATTTATGGATTTATTCATTTTAATTTTAATTAATATATTACGATGCTCTGTCAAGGTCATTATGCTTTGCATTTCCTCTAATTTCTTTTTTTCTTTCACTTTTATATCATCATATTTTGCTATGTCTTTCTACTTTTCTCTTAGTCACCCTAATTCCTGAATGAATCTAAAAACAACTGCTGTAATAAAATACAGGTTTCATATCACTTCTACCTCAAAATATTTCTTGAATTTCTATTACCTACAGAAAAAAAGTCTACACATTTTAGAATGGGTCTGAGACCCTCCATGATTAGTGCCAGCCTGCTTGTTAGCCTCTTCTGCAACATTGTCCCCAGCAAGCCTCCCTGAACTATATGTACACCTGTCTATTCCATTGCTTATGCCTATCAGTGAGAAATGCTATATTGTTTCTTTAGTTTGTCTAAATGCTACTTATTTTTCAAGCATGGCTTAAAGGTCACCTCCAAAATATTGTCCCCAGCAAGCCTCCCTGAACTATATGTACACCTGTCTATTCCATTGCTTATGCCTATCAGTGAGAAATGCTATTTTGCCTCTTTAGTTTGTCTAAATGCTACTTATTTTTCAAGCATGGCTTAAAGGTCACCTCCAAAATAAAGTTTTTCCCCCAGATGCCTTAGCTGAATTTAACCATCCTGTGTGCTGCTCAAGTTTGCATACCCACAAGTTTAGTACAGTACTTTGCATACATTAGTGTCCTTCAAGAACTTTTCACTGAACTTCCAAAGAATTAATTTTGAAGTAGGGTATAACTTACTGGTTGCAGAGTCTGATTCGACATCATTAGCTCTATCGCCATCACTGTCTTCCAAAAGAATCTTCCTCTGTTGTACTGCAGCTTTAGAGGCTGCTGTCCTTTTCCCTTGAACACCACGAACATCATCTTCCTCAGTAATCTTATCCAAATCTTCAGGAAAAGCATAAAAATTACTGAAAAACTTCTTGGGCAGCTGATATTTCAAGAACTGTAGACTAGACTCTATTACCTCTGTTGCTTTCATTTGCCCAGGTTCATCCCTCCCCTGCTTCTAGAAATGGACTACATGGCCCACTCTGGGTCAATCATAATACATCAGTCCCCTGGCAACAGATTCTTGTTTTAAGGAAAGTCCAAGACCAAAACAGAGACTGTCCCCAAGACTTTTCAAACTGAAACTGGGAAGATGTAGCCCCTTTCTTCAGAGGTCAATTGCTGTAGACTAGAAGCCATTGGTAGTCACGTCTCTCCCTCCACAAGGGAAGAAAGTAGGTCCTGCAGTAAGAGAAAGGCTCAAACACAAAGTACAAAGGCCAGGAGATGAAGAGAGAGCCTCGACAAATTTAAAAACCTTGTTTCTAGCTACAGTTTTAGAAATTTAAACAAAAGTTGGAAAAATAGCATTGCTGATGAAAAATATTATTATTAATATCAAAGACTTACCTGAATAATCACAGGCTACACTGCAATTAGAGATATGAGGAGACTTATTCATTGTTTCTGTTTTACTATTGCCATGTTTTTCAATGCCTACATATAAGAAATAAAAAAGAAAATTCAGATGCACCTTAATCAACCAATGTCTAGAAATGGAAAGATTAATGCTAAAATGTAATACAGTATAACATCTAGATACAGATAAATGATCCCAAACTCAAACTAGCACCATGATTTTACTGGGAAAGGCTACCATATGGTTAAGAGTTTGGGCCTTGATATCAAAAAGATTTAGTTGAGTTCAAATTCAGGCTCTGCTACACAAACTGGCTATATGATCACGGGCAGGTTGCTTATCCTAAGACTTCATTTCCTCATCTATAATGTGGGAAAAAAAATAGTGTCTCATAGGGTTATTATGTGAGATTAAATTTTAATCTCACATGGAAATTGCTTATTACAGTGCCTAACATATGGGAAACAGTTAATAAATACTACCTATCATATCTGTGTAGGCAAATCCATACTTTTACTAATAAGGACTCTCCAATCATTATAAATGATCTTAAAATGATCTAAAGCATTTTCAGAATTATGATAATTGGTACTATTAAATCTCAATGCTACAAAGTACTTTATTCAATGAGAAGTGGTACTACCAAGGAACTCCTGATATAAATTCTACAATGTGTTGTAAGAGAGAGATAAATTTCATTTTCTCAAATTTTAGATATGACGATTCTCTCTTGAAGTTTCTTTGATTCCCGATTACTAAAAGTTTTGCTAATCAAAACTATTTCATTTATTTTTAAATAGGAGGCTATTGCTTTAAAAAACAAACAAAAAACCCCAACTATACCGCTAAATAAGATAATGGACTAAAATATCTCTCAACATAAAAGAAT